ATCCTGTTGATCTATCAACATTGAAAATTGATTGACAAAGAAAGGTAAAATCAATGTTGAGACCCTGTTGATCTATCAACATTGACAATTGGTTGACAAGAAAAGGTTGATTCAATGTTGAGATCCTGTTGATCTATCAACATTGAAAATTGATTGACAAAGAAAGGTTAAATCAATGTTGAGACCCTGTTGATCTATCAACATTGACAATTGGTTGACAAGAAAAGGTTGATTCAATGTTGAGATCTTGTTGATCTATCAATATTGATGGATCAACATCATCTCAACCTATCCTCAATGTTGAATCAACGTTGAGTGCCCGCTGGGTTGTAATTGCACAGAAAAACAATATTCAAGAAAATGAGATGTTGAATGGTTACCTATGTAAACATTTCATTCGTATGACTTTCATAAGTGAATTATTCACATGCACATAATTCTGATGAATCAGATCCTAATAATATTTTCAGGATATTTGAAAAATGGAATAGAATAATTAAGTCAGATTTTGTTGATGTTGATGTTGATAAATCAATACATTTATAAAAAGAAGTGGGATGTCTTGGATGAGAACTGCACTCTCTGAGCACTAATACGTAAATTCAAATATATATTCACGTATAAGAATAAATAACATCACAATGCTGTATTTTAAAACTTAATTCACCTTTAGATACCCATAATTTAACAAGGTATCTGCCACGACCGGATAGGCATCTGTCAAATGTTGTGTCTTATTACTGTTGTCACGATTACCAATAATTATATATCTGAAAAAATAAATAATAGTTCTGATATTGTAATATCTAAATAATTTTGATACAAAACTTTTGAATTACATGTATAGGTTATCAAAATGAGGTGTATTTTTATTTGAGGGCTAACAATTCAAATGTGCATGTATCAATCAATAAATTATACATCATGTAATACTGCTCACAAATTACCTTAAAACACCTTTCCAATCAAGATTTTTTAATTTCACCTTTTTGACCTTACC